CAGCTCCTGGAAGGAAACTTCGCCCTCTTCTGCACCTACACCCTGGGCTTCCGCAACGAGTTCCAGAACATTCTCCTGGCCATCATGGTGGGTACAACCCCGTCCTGGCCCCCTCGGGGTGCTGCCACCATGCTGGGGTCCCATGGGTGCTCCCTGGGGGATGGGGAGGCTGGGGACGCTCCGAGGTCCCCCTGGGACAAGGGACAAGCTGCCAAATGTCCTGCAGGGGCCGGGTGGGTTGGCAGGAACAGGGAGAGCTTTGTCCCTGCGTGAACAGGGCAGAGCAGGAGCCGTGGGGGCTTTTTGTCCAAACGCTGCCACTTGTCCCCCTCCCCTGCCCACTTGGAGAAAAGGAGCTCAGTGTTTGCTGCCAGCAACACAGAGCAAAACAGCTCCTGGAGAGGTTTTTTCAGATTTTCTCATTCCTGGAAGTGCTTTCCGCCCTCTCCTCCGTGGGATGGGAAGGTTTGAGGTGCTGTGTCCCCGCAGAGCGTGGCTCCTGTCCCTGCTGTGTGCAGGGGACGAGGGCAGRTCCCTTCCCAGCCCCGAGGATTGGGGCAGAGCCTCTCTGTGTGGGGACAGCAGTGGGGTGGCCCCAGCATTGGGGGACAGCACTGGGGACATGTGGGAGCTGGCAYTGGGATGGGGGACACCGTGCCCAGGGGCTGTTCCTGGCTGGGATCTGTGTTTATGGGGTTTATCTGGCTGGGAAAAGGGTTTTTCCCRCAGAGAGGAGCCAAAATGTGACCCTTCCCTCCCACAGCTCTCGGCCACCTTGACCATTCCATTCTGGCAGTGGTTCCTGACCCAGTTTGGGAAGAAGAAAGCTGTTTACGTGGGCATCTCGGTGAGTGTTTCCCACACGGGATGAGCAGAGCTGGGTCCACCCTGGAGGGTTCAGAGCTGGGCAGGGGCTGCTGCTGGTGACATTTGGGCACAAACAGCACCAGGGACAAAAGCCAGCAACGAGGGGATCAGAGACACTGCACCTCTGGTTTTTTGTGAGGAGGAAAAGCCAGGGGTGCTGTGCCAAACCCTGCTGATGCCAGGCTGCTCTCTGCCCCTCCTGCAGTCTGCCATCCCCTTCCTCATCGCCGTGGTTGTCCTGGACAGTAACCTCATTGTCACCTACGTGGTGGCCGTGGCTGCCGGGATCAGCGTGGCCGCCGCCTTCCTGCTGCCCTGGTGAGTGTGAGGGGCTGCTGCTTCCTCCCAGGAAGGGATAAAACCCCTCTGAAAGCTTTTCCTGCAGCATTTCCAGCCTCAGGAGGGCTCCTGAGATGCTTTTTCTGTGCCTTCACCATCCCTGTCCCCGCACAGGTCCATGCTGCCAGATGTCATCGATGATTTCAAGCTGCAGCACCCCAGCTCCCACGGCCACGARGCAATTTTCTTCTCCTTCTACGTCTTCTTCACCAAATTCACTGCTGGAGTCTCCCTGGGCATCTCCACGCTCAGCCTGGAGTGAGTTCATGCAGGGGGGAGGCACTTCCCAAGCTCTGGGGTCTAAATATTTTTGTTTCCCCAAATTTCTCCCCACAGGGATCAGCCCAGCTCATGCAAATCCCATTTTCTCTGTCTGAAGGTGCCTTTTTCCCCCACAGCTTTGCAGGGTACCGGACCMGGGGCTGCTCCCAGCCCGGCCAGGTGAATTTTACCCTGAAAATGTTGGTGTCAGCCGTGCCCGTGGGGCTGATCCTGCTGAGCCTGCTGCTGTTCAAACTCTATCCCATCGACGAGGAGAAGCGGAGGAAGAACAAGAAAGCCCTGCAGGATTTAAGGTGAGCAGTGGGCGGGGGTGTGTGCGGGGGCAGGATCAGACGGGTTGGGACACACCGTGACTCGTCCAGGAATCCTCCAGGACACGTGGGTGGTGGCGTGAGGGATGGGTTGGCTGCTTTTCCCAAATCCCAGCTCCCGGGGTGCATCCTCCAGGACCCGTGGGGGGTGGCGTGAGAGATGGGATTGGGATTGGGAAAAGCAATCCCAGCTCCAGGGGTGAATCCTCCAGGAGCTGTGGGGTGGGTGGATGGCGTGAGGGATAGGTTGGGATTGCTTTTCCCAATCCCAGCTCCCGGGGCGAATCCTCCAGGATCCGTGGGTGATGGCGTGAGGGATGGGTTGGGATTGCTTTTCCCAAATCCCAGCTCCAGGGGCAAACCCTCCCGGACCCGTGGGGTGGGTGGTGGCGTGAGGGATGGATTGGGATTGCTTTTCCCAATCCCAGCTCCCAGAGCGAATCCTTCAGGACCCGTGGATGGTGGTCTGAGAGATGTGTTGGGATTGCTTTTCCAAATCCCAGCTCCCGGGGCGAATCCTCCAGGATCCGTGGGTGATGGCGTGAGGGATGTGTTGGGATTGCTTTTCCAAATCCCAGCTCCCTGGGTGAATCCTCCAGGATCCGTGGGTGGTGGTCTGAAAGATGGATTGGGATTGCTTTTCCAAATCCCAGCTCCAGGGGCGAATCCTCCAGGACCCATGGATGGTGGTCTGAAAGATGGATTGGGATTGCTTTTCCAAATCCCAGCTCCCCGGGGTGCATCCTCCAGGAACTGTGGGTGATGGTGTGAGGGATGTGTTGGGATTGCTTTTCCAAATCCCAGCTCCCAGGGGCGAATCCTCCAGGATCCGTGGGTGATGGCGTGAGGGATGTGTTGGGATTGCTTTTCCAAATCCCAGCTCCCGGGGAAATCCTCCAGGAGCTGTGGGGTGGGTGGTGGCGCGAGGGATGGGTTGGGATTGCTTTTCCCAATCCCAGCTCCCAGAGCGATGGCGTGAAGCTTTAAAAGCTCAGCAGGAACGCGCCCCGGCTGCCACCCGGGACACGTGCGGCGATTCCACGAGGCACAGACACCGTGCCATCCCTGGGAAAAACTCCTGTACCCCGAGGCASATCTCACCGGGATGCTGATCTCACTTTGTGCTCAATCCTCACCTCGTTCCCACTTGTTTTGTGCCTCAATCAGCGCCTCATTCCCAACTTTTTTTTTTTTTCCCCCAGGCAGGAGAGCAACAGCAGCTCGGAGTCGGATAACACAGAGCTGGCCAGCATCGTGTGAGCGGGGCTGGGTCTGTCTGCACCCACCGGGGCTCCCCGGGGACTCATCACCCTCCGGGCTGGCCCAGCCGCTGCTGGAGGAGCCACGGGGAGCGTTGGCCACCTCCAAAATCTCCAGTTGGGGATGTGTGSCCGTCCCGTGGCTCGCACGGGGCGCGCAGAGCGCTGGTAGTGTACATTACACACGTGCTGCTGCCTCCCCGGACACTGCGCTGTCCCCGCCGGCTTTTGGAGGGTGGAAAAGGCCGCTCTGGGATGGTTCTGCCCGGAACACGCACAGCCCAGCCTGGGGCTGATGGTTAGTGTACATTACACTGTCGGTTCGGTGTGCCCGTGCCCGGGTGAGCTCACCTCTGGGCACTGATGTGGGAGCTGTTCTTTTTTTTTTTATTATTATTATTTACAGAGCCTAATTAACTTAACGATGTAAATACGGAGCTGTTTCCTGTTTGTATATATCTGTACAGACCCCAAACCCGAGGACCTGTTAATATTAATTTACATAAAAATGGGGGAAGTCGGCAGCGGGTGTGTCGGATTTTTTTTTTTTTTTTCCTGCTCGGCCGGGATTTTTCACGGCTGTCAGCAAACCCAGGGTTCCTTTAGACGCCGCGGGGTGCRGGATTGACTTTTCCTGAGCCGTGGTGCAGGAATGCCGTAATCCCGGCTGCGCTSAGCCCTTACCCCCGTGCAGCTCCTTGCTCGCTGCCTGTGTCGCAGCCATCCAACAAAGGCTCCATTCTTCCCTGCTTTTCAAGAGGGGGACGGGGGTGGAGGGAGGAATGAAATCAAAGTGCTGCCAGCGGAGATGGTGAACTGGAGGCTGGAAAAGGGGAGAGGCAGCTGCGGGGAGCGGGGAGAAAGGGAATGCGGGCTGCCGGGGCACAGCGCTAATCCCCGGTGATATTTATATATATTTATCTCCCTGATGCCTCCAGCAGCAAAACTCGGGGAAAARGGGCTGAAATGAGGGCAGGGAGATTGGAATTCCCTGTGGATGGGGCGAATTCCCCSTTGGTGCTGTCCCCAAGGCCAAAAGCTGCTCGCTTTGTTGAGCACATTGGTCACACCACGAAGCTGGTGAGGCCAGGGCTGAGCTGAGATTGGGGAGGTTGGAAGGAAGAAAGGCTCATCCTTTGTTCCACATTTGGGTACAAAGGACTGGGATGACCGCGGGGTTTAAAAATAGCCAAGGGGGGATTAGTTGGGAATGCTCACTGAGCCCCCATGGCCATGGAAAGAGGGCAGAGTAGAATGTGGGAGGTTGGAGCTGCCTCTGTGCTCACAGACCAGGACTGGGGTGCTCCCTGCTTCCCCAAGGATGGAGCTGCAGCGAGGGGACAAAATGGGGACAAAACCAGCGCTCCCTACAGCTCTCTGACAAGGCAGGTGCAAGAGGAGGAGGAGGAGGAAGGCTCCAGCCAGCACAACTCAGCTCAGGGTTGTTGGGAATGTTCTGACCCCTGGCTGGGATTGCCCGGAGTTATCCCGGCCACGGCCACGACCTGGCCGCCTCCGAGGATTGAAAGATTGCTGCGAGCCTTTGTTTGTTTCAAAGAGTTTCAACAGAAAAAAAAAGAAAAAAAAAAAAAGGGGGACATTTTATTCTTTGCCTCCTCGTTTTATTGGCTCTGCGGAGTTCACCAGGAGTCTCCACTCAAGTTTTTTTCTGCGGCCAGCCCAAGGGACTGAAACCAGGAGCTTGAACGGGAGCCTGAACATTCCTCGCTGAGCACACCTCTTCTATTCGAGGCTTTTAAGAAAATGAGATGTGTGGGGGAGGAAATGACCGTGGGAGTCGATAACACTTGAGCCCTGGGCACAGCTCCAGCTTTGGAGCGGGGATCTTGCTCCAGTTGTGGTTACAGAGAAGGAATAAGTGGCGAGGAATGCACTGGGAGGTGCTGCTTGCACCTGCAGCTGAGTCCACAGGGATTTTGGGCGTGGAGCAAAATCATCCAGGTGCTGGAAAACACCGCCTTGGAGAGCCGGGGTGAGTGGCAGGGGCTCMGAGCCAGGAGGTGGCAAAGGCAGGGTGACAGCGCCTGCCAGGCTGTGCGCCCGGGGGCACAGGGGATGGGCTGGAATCAGCCCAAATCCCGGCTGAGGAGCTCTGGCAGGCTCCTRTGCCAGCCCAAAACTTTCTGATCTGCTCAGAGGGGACAAAATCAAACCAACAGCAGCTGGAGCTCCAAAAAGCAGCGCCAGAAYGTGCAGAATTGGATTTAAAATCTCTGGAGCAAAGGGTAGAACCTCCCTCACTCAAGCAGATAAAAGCAGGAGCAGCGGCTGCAGGGACAATTCCCGAGGTGACAGAAGCCACCCTGAGCCTCTTTACTCTGCAGGGAAAATGTGGAAGTGAGAGAAGTCTCTCCTTGCAGAGAGTGAGGAATGAATTCCCTCCTTATCTGCAGCGAAAGGACAAAAAGCCTCGGGTTTATCTGGCAGCAGGATTTGTGAAACATTCCAACGGGGATGGATGGATGGATGGATTTCCCTTGGCCCCGGGGCTGGAAGGACCCACGAGCAGCAAAAATCACCCAGGACTGGTTTCAGATGCTTCAAACTGACCCAAGCACAGGTTCATAAAGAAAGAAGTGTCACCCCAGGGTCCCCAGAGCAGGGGATGGCTGGAAAAATCAGCTCAGCCCGGGAAATTCTGGGAAGGAGAAGCAGAAATGCTGGAGCAGGGCTGGAAAAATCAGCTCAGCACGGGAAATTCTGGGAAGGAGAAGCAGGAATGCTGGAGCAGGGCGGGAAATCAGCTCAGGCCAGGAAATTCTGGGAAGGAGAAGCAGGAAAGCTGGAGCAGGGCTGGAAAAATCAGCTCAGCACGGGAAATTCTGGGAAGGAGAAGCAGGAATGCTGAAGCAGGGCTGGAAATCAGCTCAGGCCAGGAAATTCTGGGAAGGAGGAGCAGGAATGCTGGAAATCAGCTCAGCACGGGAAATTCTGGGAAGGAGAAGCAGGAACGCTGGAGCAGAGCTGGAAATCAGCTCAGCCTGGGAATTTCTGGGAAGGAAAAGCAGGAACGCTGGAGCAGGGCCACGTCCCCGACTCGCTGGGCTCTGTCACCACCTGGGGACAGCGGGATGGAGGCACTGCAGGGCACAGCTGTCCCCAGGGGTCACTCTGTCTGTGCCACCAGGCTCAGGTCACTGGCTCCGTCTGCAAACACGGGCTGCTGACGTGTTTCGGTGGGCTTTGGTTAATGTTTTGCCAAAGCCACCGTTCCCAAGGCTGTCGGCAGCCCCAGCACGGCGGTTTGGGGACATTAATGATGGGGCAGTGACGCGTTTTCCTGCTGCAAAATCAAATCCATTTTCCCAGGAATGAGGCTGGGCGGAGGCGCTGCCAATTGCCCTCCTCACCCCACAACGGAGCAGCTGCAAAAAGCCAAAGGGTGCTGTCTAAGGGACTCAGAGGTATTTTAGATTTTTT